ACCCTAGGCCCAGGTGAGCCTCCCCCAGGGCCCGAAGGGATCTGTCTTTCCAATATTAAATTACCTGTTTCATGAGATTATCCTCTGGATAAAGTCCATTGTAGAATGTATCATAATGTACCAGGTACCTTTGCACTTGTAACAGTGGTATATAAAGAATTCTAGCATTTTACAAGTTAAATTTGTATCTGATCATACTCCAGACATATCAGGATGAGCTTGTCTGATTTTTCTGGTGTACATCAAGTACATTTCTTCCAGTCTGTCTCCCTCTTCCATTGCAAACCATTAATTGATACCTTGAAATAATACTATGACTAAGCATCAACTCATGTTCCATATGTAATGCATAGTTTTAGCAAAACCAAAAGTATTTTTGGTAAGACATTTTTTATAATTCCAAATAATGAATCTTTTCCCTCATCTTCCGTGGCACACAGAAAAATTAAACTTGACATAAAACTAATTAGGCAATAAAGAATGTGAAAACTTTTGTTGCTTATAACCAGTCAGTTTGAACACAGACAGAACATTGGTTCAGAATTATGTCCTGTGGAGTGACTTTTTAATTGTGTTACAGTACCGTAACAAGATTTTCCATAATGTTCATTAAACCAGAATTCTAGTCTGTCTTTATGAAAATTTCCATCAACAATAAAAATAGTAGGTTTTTTTCTGTTTCACAAACATGTGTAGTATTTTTCAAATACAGGGAAAACTGCACTTGATGTGCAAGCTAGAATATGACTAAATTTCACTTACTGGTAATACACTAAGGAATAATGATCAACAAAGGAGGGGTGGAAGACCTGGAAGGATAAAGATTTAGTTGGATAGACTTAATTTTATGTAGGTTTTCTTCAGCCTTACTTTTTAAGGATAATTTATTTTACCGTTGATTTCACTAGGTTTAGAATTTCAGCTGCTGCATTTATAAAATCCTTCAGGATGACACCTGACTGGATTACACTCTTTGCTGTACTATTCTACACTACTATAGTGATGCAAAACATATAGATCAATATGTACCGATGTAGATTTATACTTAATATTTAACAGAGAATTTTCCAAGGCCTGGAATATTTTCCAAAATCTATTACAGGTTTTAAGGGTTATCATTCCAATTTAGTTATATTTGGACTTTTAGGGAGGCATACACTCTTCCTGAATAAGTGGATTTTGTAAGGTGTGCAATCAGTTTGGTGTAGTTTTGCACAGGAAGCATTTTAGTTCATAACATTGGTGCTGCAGAGACTTGTTTCCAGGGCTTCCATGTTACTTTAGCAAGATTGTCATTGGGAAGCCAGTAGAATAGTTTTGAAACATTGAAAGGGCTTCCAGCGTGACATGTGCTGTACATAACATAAAGGTTCCAGGTGAGTGAAAATGCCTGCAGATGTTTACATTTGAACCAACAAGGAGTTTGTAACCAAAAACCAGTCAACTAAGCATCCATCATTTTATCCTTGCAGCTAGAACCTGTGTGCTCCACAACAGTTCCATTGTACTCTCTGAAGATGGGACGAGATTATGAGATACGAATCCGATCAAGGCAACGGACTTCTGAAAAATATGGGGAGTTCAGTGAAACCCTTTCTGTGTCTTTTTCTATGGCTAGTGAAGCAGTTCTGTGTGCTGAAGGTGAGTGAGGACAAAGAAGTCTACAATGAAATGAGGCTATAACCATTGCTTTGTTTGCCATTGCTTTACTTTGTGTACATCACTTGGATACACTAGGTGCTCAGGTGACTGCAGTCCAGTCTCCTTGGTGAGGCTGGTTGTATGGCACTGCAAGAGATGTTTGTGCTGTGGAATAAGATTAAAAGGTTCAAAAACAAACTCAGCAGAGCTGCTTCCCAACTTGGCAGAAATCAAAACAGTTCATTTTAAGATTATAAAAAACAACTTCTGTCGTCCATGCCATGCATGCCAAAGTGAGGACAATCACATATCATGTCAGGGAATAAACTGAGCACAGCAGGGATGAGAAACAGAAGTTTCCATTTCCATGTATGTTTTTACATGTGTGGCCAAATGAACTGGAAAGATGGTGTGCCTCCTTCTTGGGGTCCCAGAGATCATCCAGATAGTGGCTTCCTGCCTCCCACTTTCCTCCCAGTTTTAAAAGAGAGCTTTTTAAAAAGAGAAAGAAATAATGGCTGAAGGGAGCCATCCCTTTTCTTTCTTTCTAAAATTAAGGCAGAGCTTTTTCAGGCCTGAGCTGCAGATTTAGTAACTCTTCCAAACTTGGTGTCATTGACCCTTTAATAAGCTATTTTAGTCACTTTTCCAAGTCATTAAGTAGCCTAATTCTGAACCTTTCAAATACAGATTCCCAAAGATACTTCCTTTCACTTCTTTTATCACCATTTTTCATTTCAAGTTCATATGATCTCTTAACCAAGTTCTGTCCATGTGGCATTGTTCTTTCTGGCCAAGGCAAGTTGAGTTAAAATTTTAAGTAAGATTTGCATCTAAGCACAATATCAAAGAATATTATGAACTTCCAAATACATTGTACTAACTGAGTTCCTTTCAGCCCTATTGGTGCATATACCTGCATCCCTCTCACTTCAGTGATGGTCTAAGTTGGTGTAAAGGTATCTGTGCCTGGATGAGTTGGCATAACTGGGATATAAATTTGTAATTTTCTGCCTAGGAACAAAATGAAAAACTCAGCAGCAATCACAAGTGTGTCCGACATGATTTATTCTTCTTTATTTGGCATTTCTCCAGATAGAATGTAGACTTCAGGCTGAAATTTTCAGCCTTAAGCTAGGCACTTAAATACACAGGTAGACACCTGATTTTTCAAAGAAGTTGCACATCTCTACGTCCCACTTACTTCAATGAGACTTTTGGGACTTCCATGCATTTTAGAATGGGGCCTCTTATTTCACTGGCTCTAGATGGATTGAGGCACCTATTAAGTGCACAAGTTAGAAAAAGTTGGCCTAGGAATAAAAATGCTAAGCTATTAACAGAGCAGGAAGACTGGTGCCTAAAAATACTTTTGTCAAGAAAGTTTGTATTTCTGTGCATATATAGAATTTTACAACTATAGACAATATTTCTTAGCCATAAAAATGTGTGAGGTCTAAAAGACAAGGAATCTAAGGCCTGCAGCCAGAACAGATTTCTGTGCATTTTGTACTCTCCAGTCACAGCTTCAGTATAATGGGGCTGTCATTATTTAAGAATAGCATTTCACTGGTCAGCTTTTTCTCCTCCCTATTCTACAACAATACTAATGAGGCTCAAATCTTGCCTTGCATGCAGTGATCTGAGGCAGAAAAAAGAAGGAAAAAGCCCTGTTGCCAGATTAAGTTGGCATTGCTCAAAGTACAAGTGAATGTCTTCCTCTTGCAGAAAGTAGTGTACACGTACAGGCATGGTTTCCAAGGAAAGAAGTATGGTTTGCCTATGGTCTGGCATAAGATGCTGTTACCAACAATGAGAGTTCTGTTTTCATTGAACGAAGCAGTAAAATGTGCCTTCAGCATCGTTTGCTGGCAGTAATACAGATATCATGCTCTGAGAAGATATGATATCTCCCTTCTGGGAGTATTTCCCTCCTTCTGAGTATAAATACTGCTTTTGCAGCTCCTGCTGCCTTTGGCAGGGTTTGGATTTTTATTGGATTATTTCAGTTTATTTTGCAATGAGTCTAAGTAGACTTATGACATGTAATATTAAAACTTGTACAATTGGAAGGACACTTTTACCTTGATTTCAGCACAGAATTTTTAGATTTAAGTGGCCAAGAAGTCCATAAAATGGATAACAACTCCTTTGGCACAGGAAAGGGAAGTTGCCTTTAAGGTTACAGCAGAGCTCTGCATAGATGCCTGCCAGTATGATTTTGCTATGTTATTTCAGAAATCCAGTTTCCATGGCTCTTCATTATCATCTTTGGAACATGTGGGCTATTGGTGGTGATGTTCTTAATTCTGTTCTCTAAACAAAGGTAAGTTTGTTTAATTTCCTTGGTTTTCTTAAGCAGGTGTTAATGAGTGACATTATTTAATCATACATTCATGCTGCCCTTTCTGTAAAGGACTTTTAAGTCTTATATTAAATTGACAGCTCAAATCTGATGTTAACAGGCTTATATAAATGCATGTTTACATACACAGCAAAATTTTAATTTTTTTCTAATTCAAATGCTTCCAGACCACCAGCCAGCAGCAAAAAATTGCAACAGACAAGATCTAGCAGTTAAATATGGGATAAGGAAGCCAATTTCAGAATCTGAAACTGTCTGATCTGGAAAAAACTCTCTGGATTCTAAGGGCATTTTTACACATGCAAGCACTGCAGCGCTGGGCACTTTGAAAAGCATCCGGCACTGCAACGCTTGCAGTTGTATAAGTGGCAAAATGTGCGTCAGTGCTGAGAAAATGGTAGCAGCTTGCCTTTGAACTAAAACACATAGAAGGTGCTTTCATTCAAAAGTGCACCACCACCATTTTCTGCACGCTGGCGCACATTTCGCCACTTATATCAGTACATGTGGCACAGCGTGGTGCACATCGGCTCATGTGTAGAGCAGACTTCATCCATCGCTTCAGAGCAAACCTGATTCATCTTCAATATTTTGTGAGACAAAAAAGGATATGTATAAATGCCCCTTGATGCTTTATTAAGTACAGATTTTAGAAGACTTAGAGTGGAAGAAAAGAGGGAAAAATAAAAAGCCTTTTCCTTGAGATTTTTTTAATGACAGCTTAAACTTGGGTTGAATCTGAATTTTTTGTTTGTCTGGGACATGTCACTGTGACTTTCTACATAAGACAACTTAATTGCCAGGCTTTTTTTTTTTTTTTTTCTTAAGCATAGTAAAAATTTTTACACAGTATCCAAAATGATGCAGAAACCCACCAGGCAGTTTATAAAGCTCATTGATTTTTACTAAACATTGTGTATAAATTTCTGCAGTCTAGTTTCATCACATTGATGACTCCTACTCTTTGCAGGTTCCAGAAATCATTCCCTTGATACTGTTGACTAGAGCTGGGCAATTGACAGTGCATTGTCAATTTGGCTAATTTAGCCCTTCTTACTACTTGCAGATTTTGTGTAACTTGTTTTTTCATGGTTGTTCAAGTATATCATGCAAACACTTAAAACCTAACTAAAAGCTGGCTACAGTGCATAAATACCTTTTAGAATCTGACCCCTTACCTCCATAATAAAATCCAGAAACCCAAGTTGAGAAACATAGATTCCCCTTACAACGTACAAGGAGAATTAGGCACAGAAAGAACCAGCACACTGAGCAGAGAGTCCCCTTGAGGTAGACAATATAAGTCCCACCCTTCTCCAGGTCTTAGGTGTCCTAGTGACACAGGATCCACACTCCTGAAAATTGTCCCGGAGCTAATTCCTTTAAAAAACCTAGTAACTGATGGTGACTGTCCTTTTTATACAGGAGGCTACTGGTTTGAGCACTCTCCCTTACCTCTTCTTACCAGCATCTTTTAAATCCCTAACCACCAGGGCATAGGCTATTCTAGGTCAGAGCACTCTTCCCCACTCCTGTTGAAGCTGTGCCACTGTGCAGAAAGGAATGCAAGATTTATTGGGCTAGAAGAAGTGTGTGTGTCTTTAGTTTTGTGGTTAGGGCACTAAGCCAGCTGGAGTCTGAGCTTCAGTCCCTGCTCTGAGGATTGTGTCTGTATTTTCTCCAATGATTGCTTCATGTAAAAAGCATAAACAGCCCTGGGAAGGAGGTATCCTGACCCTTATTCCAGGTGAAGCCCTACCCATTTTTCTGCACAAGGGCACAACATAAGCAGAAGGGATAAAGAGTATTTTCACCAAATACAGCCTCTAGATTCATGGTAGGGCTCTCTTACGAAGTGGGACATGTGGGTCTAGAGCAGTGACGTCCAATCGCACCCTAGCCCAATCTGGCCAGGCACTGCCCAATCTGATACAGCCACATGCCACGCAAATCAACTGCCCCTATCCCGCTGTGCTGCCCCAATCCTGCACTGGCCCAATCCCATGCGCCCAGATCTGGCCATGCACTGACACAATTGGGCATGTAGGACTATGCTGTTTGGCCCACAGGGCTCCCCAGTGGTCTGGAAATTTGTCAGCAGAGGAGCAGCAATTAAAACTGCTACTGCTCCTCACCGCCTAATTCCCAAACCCACGCAGAGCCCCATGGGCCAGATGACATGGCTCCATGAGCTGGATTTGGCCCACGGGCAAAGGCACAAGCACCCCTGATGCAGAGGCAATTGAACCTAGCTCTCCCATGTTGAGGGTAAGTTCTCTAAATCACTATGCAAAAGAAAGGGACCTCTTCTAGCTGCATTTTAAAATAAAACGGTAATTGCCATTGCTTGCCCCTGTAGATGCTGTGAGAACACCCACCAGTAATAGGGGGAGTAACTCCAGCTGGATCAGTCAGGCATAGGCATGAGCTAAGTATACTTAGCCAAACACTGCCAAAACTGAGGTGTTTCTGTGCATGTCCAGAAGCAGGACTTTAGATACCTGCTGGACCTTCAGATAGGCAAATAGATATACCTGTGCTATTCAAGGCACCTCCAGAGTTAAGTAGCAACTGAGCAGGGGTTTTCAGGACTGGGATTTTAGACTTAGGTGTCTGCATTTCATCTAAGCTTTACTGTAACCTAAATCTTTTCATGGCAAACATCAATGAAGTACTGGCTACAGTCCTGTGATACATGAGCTTTGAAACAAAAACTTTGAAAAACACATTAAGCTAGACCCAGTACTTCATCCATTCACTGACCTATAGGACAAGGAAATGGGCACATTATACAAAAAGAAGACCAGCTTTTCCGCTCATGGCCACAGTAAACATGTTTTTGCAACAGAGAAAAACACAAGGAAGAGATTGTATGCATGCCACTGTTAAAGAAAAGCCTGTCTTTTCTCAAAATGCAAGATACTGTTCAGAATTAAGGAGGGGTTCCCTTCATATTGGCTACATTTACCATTGTGTAAAGGACAAGCACAAGAACTATGTATATCCAATTTAATCATGTACAAGCAGTGTGCTGGCTTTCATCCCACAAGGATTATCTCCAGACTGTTGTCATGGAAATTATTTATTCCATCGATGGCTGTTTAATGACTGGGAAAATAGAGGCTTTTGTAGCGAGTCTTAATTTGAACTTAACCTTTTGCAGTAATGAATCTACATTTTTTGTTTATCAGGCCTGAAACAATTTCCTTTCTTTCACCACCTCCCCCTTTCCAATCCCCTATTTCTTATTTAACTTATGCAAGACCTTATCCCAGAAGACACTTTAGGAAAGTCGCTTTGTATATTGAGTAATCCATGCTGACTCATATAAGGTTATTTTTTTTAATTATACAAGAGGGACACTATACATATTTTTCCTAGAATTTACTCAAGAACTATGGTTCTGTGAAGTGTAAACTATTGAAAACTAGAGTCCAAATGTGAGAGCTGTACACAAATTTAGTTGGTTGTAACCAGCCAGATTTCAGAAAACCTGTTTCTTATTTTAAATGAGAGTAGTAAACAACCATTGTCCCCTTCATTATTACTTTGAAATTTCCATTGTATTAAACCCCTTAAATAAATGTAAAGAAAAGGAATGCTAAGAATTTTAAGTTCATTTTTCTGAACTCTGAAAAGAGCATTTTAAATTACTTGAAATTAAAATGCTGTGTTTCATTTTTTTTTTTCAAGGTTAAAAATGCTGATTCTCCCTCCAATTCCAGCTCCAAAGATTAAAGGGATTGATCC